GCACTTACACGGACAATATTATTGCTGCGATACTGTTTGGAAACACAAATAGTTATGTTCAGCAAAGTCTCCCAAGTACAACAGTACCCCTCATGTACAGGTTTTATGGTGTTTTCAAAAGTTACAGCGTCAAATATAAGGCTTGTTTCATTTTTTTCACATGAAAATTCGCCAGATTGGGTACGTTGCCTTTGAGACCCTATGGTAGCCCAAGAATGAAAATTACTATGATGGCATACCATTTGACCAAATGGCTACTAAAAAAGACTGGACATATACCTTGGGTTGTCTACTATTGCAAATGGTATGCCATTATGGGTGTAAATTTCATTCATGGGCTACTATAAAGTCCCAAAGGCAACGTAACCAATCTGGCAAATTTCAATTTCAAATGTAACGTGCTATATTTGACCCTGTAACTTCCCAAAACACTATAAAACCTGTACATAGGGGGTACTGTTTTACAAGTGAGACATCGCTGAATACAAATATGTGTATTTTATTGCAGTAAAAGCAAACAATATTATGACATTGATAGTTAAAATGTCATGTAGAACTAAAATTAAAAAAAACTTATTTTCTCCCATTTTTTTCATATTAAATTATGTTTCATAGCTAAATATTTGATATTAAATGAAAGCCCTGTTTCCCCTGAATAAAATATTTAATAAGGGTGCGTGCATTTAATATGAAAGAGGTGAATTACGGTTGGACAGACATGTAGCGCAAATGCCAGGTTTTGTTTACATTTTGTTTTTCGTTCACAACGTTTACATTTGGCTCCGTCCTTAAGGGGTTAATATACATTTTTATATTGTTTAAAGACACAACTACAAAGTTAAAAACCAAACACCAAAACAACGTGCCAGACAATCTACCTGTGTGTGACTAGTTGATACAATAAGTCTACATCTTAAAAATGCAATAACCCACACAAGATGGGCGCAAAGTTTTTTTGCAAATGGAACTTTGATTCGAATGTACTACATCGGTCACTTGTAATATTGTTTCACACCTACAACACTTGTTACACAGATCCAGGTGACAGAAAACAGATTGATATTCTTTATTTTTTTTTTATTACAACAGAGATAAGCCTTCTGGTACAAATTGGTATACTAACAATAATATCCCAAAAAAGGAATATCAACATCCAAGAGCAGCCTTGAAACCTATATGAATAAGACATACAATAACAAAAACAAACTGGTCGAATATATTGCAGAACTATAAATGATCAAAAAATCCCAATATTACATTAGCTAATATCAGATATGTGGCCAAGGAACCCGTATGATAGTGCCCGCTACGGTATTATCGGTTAGGCATAAGGTGGTCATAAAAAGTAACCCAAACGCCTCAAACTCATTAAAGCCCTTTAATTTTCTCAACAAGACTGGAATAGAACATCAAAATATTAAGATTGGAATATTCTCTCATATGAATCAGCCCCTTTTCCATCTCAACTTGATATAAGAGTTGGGCTTTAACTTGATCTCTAGTAGGAATGTCAATCAGATGTATACCTCCAATCCTATATATAAATTCAAATGTAATATTCCAGAGAGACTTAATTTGAGGGCAGGTCCACCATATATGAAACATAGAACCATCTGGGTGTAGACACCACCAACAATTTGATGGATTAGTAATAGATATTTTAGCAAGTCTAGTCGGTACCAAGAACCATCTATACAATATTTTAGTAAAAGTCTCTAGAATATTCAGACAGTGAATGGTTTTTTTTTAGTCCTCATAAAGGATTTACACCAATTAATAAATGGAATAGGTATTGCTAGGTCAGTTTCCCATTTGGTTAAAGCATTGGGGATAACTGGAGTCCCCTTAATTTTTATTAGTTCTACTGCAATAGAGAATCTCTTTTTAACCTTACACCCGGAAAATATTTTCCTAAACAATTTACCAAAACGTCCATCTAGTACTATGTTATCTTTCAAATAGCTCTTAATACGAAGAAAATTAAATAATTCTCTAGAGGGTAAATCTAACCAGTTTTTCAGAACTTCAAAGCTTTTCAATTGGTGATCATTATAAAGATCTTTTATCTTATAATTAGGATCTTTAAACCAGTTCATCAGATTTATCTCTAGCATAAATCATTCTAACGACCTTAGACTGAGGTTCTCATATAGTTTTTTATTAATATTCAGCTTTTTCTTTATATTAGTCCATTCTTTTAATGTCTGTGATAGAGACAAGGGAAAATGAGAGGTGATCTCACACAAATGCTTATTCTGACTTGCCTCTCTCTATAAGAGAAGTTCGAGATTATCTAAACCAACTCTGGCTGCCTCAATTTTATACCAAGCTTGGTCTATATAATCACTTAGTTGTAGATTACTGGCGTGGACCAGCATATTGGCCTGATAGATTTGATTAACTAGGGGGTAACCCAACCCCCCCTGGTGGGCCTTCCTTGATAAAGATTGATATTTTCTACACTAGAAACTACCAGATAACAAGCTGCTATATTTAAACCAGTTATCAATAGTAGGAATGTGCATGGGAAAAATTTTCGGTTCGGTTCGGCATTCTGAAATTCGGTACTTCGGCAACTTCGGAACTTCGGCAACTTCTCTTCAGCCGCTTGGTAGATAACTCCCTAATTCCCACGGTATTAGGGAGTTATCTACCAAAAGGCTGAAAGACCTAAATTGGTCTTTCAGCCAAATTTACTAATACTAAGTAAAAATTACTTAGTATTAGTAAATTTTGCCCCTACTCGCTATACTGCGAGTAGGGGCATGTCTAGTAAACAGTGAGCAGCCTGACACAGAGCACTCTGGTGGATTAAGTAACCGATCAGAGTGTTATGAGTCAAATTACACAGCGTGGGAAAATTCCAAATAACTTTCCCACGCTGTGTAAAATGACACAGAGCATTCTGATTGGTGGATTTCAAGCCAACCAATCAGAGTGCTGTGACAGGTAAATGTAGAGACTTACCTGTCAGTCTCTTCATTTACCTGTCAGAGCACTCTGATTGGATGGCTTAAACCCACCTATCAGAGTGCTCTGAGCCTAGAGCTCAGTCTGCACAGAACCCTCCATGGGTGAAGAAGGATTATTATTTTTTGGCGCTTTTTTTTTTTTTTTTTTTTAGTGCGTCGGTTATTATGGATTTTTTATTTAGCCTATTTTGGTGCTGAAAAAAGTAGATTTTAGAAGAAAGAAAACATCAAATGGTAAGTTTTATTTTATCTTTTTTAACAGGTAATTAGTTAATTAGGTAGGGGTTAGTTGTTTTTTTGGGGGAGGGGGGTGACTAGGGGTTTTTGGACATTAGGTCCCCCCTAATTAGTATTTAGGGCCACCACCCACTGCTCATGGGTGGGGGCCAGGGGGGAGGACATTAGGTGGCCCCCCATTTTAATTTAGGGCCCTCACCCACTGCTCATGGGTGGGGGCCGGGGTGAGGACAATAGGTTCCCTCCACTTATTTTACTTTAGGGCCCCCACCCGCCACTCAGGGGTGGGGGCCCGCGGGGGGCAATATGTCCCCCCTTCAGGTTAGAAGCCCCCACTCACGTGGCATGGGTGGGGGCTTGGGAGGGGGACGTGTTTGTTTTTTTTTTTGGTTTTTTTTTTTTTTACATTGAGCAGCCATAGGCATAATTTACTAATACTAAATAATCTTCATTTAGTATTAGTAAATTTGTCCGAAAGACCAATTTAGGTCTTTCAGCCTTTTAGTAAATAACTCCCAAATTCCCACGGTATTAGAGAGCTATTTACTTATTCATTCCTGTCATTACATTGACTGGCTAAGTAACTTACATTTTATATGAATGTATGTTACTTGATTGTTGTAATTGTTGCAAATGCTTACAGCTGAATCCTGGCTATGTTTCTATACTTTTTATTTAAACGTGTATACAGTGTAACATTCTTATAATAAGTATATTAGTACTTGGGCAATACTGTGCTTCGACACTTCAACACTTCGGAAATTCCGGAACCTCGGCAATTCGGACATTCGGAAGTACCTGAATATCCGAATTGCCCGAAATTCGTCCGAATTCATATTCGGACCAAAACGAATTGCACATGTCTAATCAATAGCTAAGAGGTACGTAAACAATATTGTAATTCTGGGGCAATACCCTCACAAGTCAAACTGAGAGGTCAGTTTATAGGGAAAACTGTTGCATGGATACAATTCTAAAACTATTTCCATATGTCCTTTGCAGACTTTACATCCTGGAAAAACACAGGTGCCAACTGCTGTGCCTTTCTGCAGTGTGCATACCGGCAAGGAGGGCAGGGTTGAGGAGGGGGTGGAAGATATTGTGGAGGATGATGAGGTCCTAGACCCCACATGGAATCAAGGTCATGTGAGTGACGTGTGCAGTTTGGAGGAAGAGGCGCTGGTCGCACAGAGGCACCAACACAAGAGGGAGCAGTGTGCAAAAACTGAGCGGCCGTCCCCTCGCACTCGTCGGCATGTATTAGCTCGAGAATTACCAGTTATCCAAGTAATACATGTAGCGATCAAAGGATCCATAATAGAGTTGAGCGAACCCGAACTGCAAAGTTTGGGTTCGCACCAAATTTAACGATCCATTCGTAGTTTCACAGTCAGGTGGGCAATTCGGTGACCAGGACCCAGACACTGTCTGGACGGCGGTCAGACGACTGGGACCAAGTATGCCTGATGTTGAAGTTAGGAGTCACAGTGTGGAATGGATTAGCAGGGTCTAGGGCAGGGTAACCGCACACTTGCTGGTGTTGAGCACCAGCGTTTGTGCCGCCACATACTAGGACCCTGATGCAGCTTCAGTAAAAAGTGTACTGGATACCAGAAGCCATCACCAGGCTGATCCGCAACTTGGAACAGGATGTGACATTCACTGTAGTGGCTCTGCGCGCTTTTGGCGTTCTCATCCTGCTGCTGCTCACCTGTCTGTGCTGCAGCGTAACTTCAGCCTTCCTGCTCACTGCGTCATGAGACTGTGCGAGCAGCAGCAGGCGATAGTGGAGTTTGAGCTGCAGCACGCACGGGTCAGTGGCTCTGCACCAGACTTCCCTCCAATTGATCAGAGTTAAAGGATTTCAAGTGGACTTATTACAATTACAGGGCCTATAAAGAGTCCTGTATTTTTATTTGTTGTCACTACCTTCCCGCATTGGGAGTGGGTCATTTGCGCGCCTGCTGCCTTCCTTGCATGTGGTAGCCGTTTCTCAGGGTCCCTGTATGGAATGGAACTCTGATTCCCCATTACCTGTGGTCACCATAGTAGGCGCAGAAACTGGCATCGAAAGTTGATATGGATGACATCCAAATGCAAAGTCGCCTTCACAGGGATGTGCAATTGGACCGAGGTTCTCTAGAGTCAACAAAGTGCCTGCGCAACTATGTCAACAGCTACTCTGCTGAACAGAGCTGCCTTTTTTATATGTCCCAATATTTTGGGGGCTCCCCCAATTAAAAAAATTTGATAAAAAACAGTGTTGGCTACCTTATCCTCCTCCTCCTCCGCTGCTTCCACCTACACCGCAACGATCACCGCCTCCTCAACCTATGGGTCACTTAGTATAAATTATGTTGTTTGCTAAGCTGTCATAAATCTTGTTACATTTTGACAGTTGGTGCTGTAGTTTTGTACTGTGTTTAGCCATTGCCATTGTATACGATGTTATACTAAATATTCACTGATTATTATCACGCAGGTTACATATTATTATTATTTTATTATGATGTTACAATAAATTATATTTTTATAATAGAATTTGTGTTTCATTGTATGGAGTAAAATCCTCATAATGATCGTTCTCTAGGATCTAAGAGAATTAAAAATAGTGGGTAATTTTCAAGATCAATTTTGATATAATAAAAATGATCAAAAATTCATTTTTGATAATTTTTATGAAAATATTATTTTACTATTTATCACCCCATAAATATCCCCACAGTACACAATAGCAGAGGCTTGTGAAGGCCTTTTCTCCATGCATCAGGAGTTGAGCATTTCTCCATGCATCAGGACTGCAAGAAATGCACCACAGGCCGCAAATGTTACTTGTTTTGTATGTCCCAATATTTTGTGGGCTACCACAATTAAAAAAAAAAAAAAACAGAAAACTTAAACCTCCTCTTCCTCCACCGCTGCTTCCACCTACACCGCCACGGTCACCTCCTCCTCAACCTATGGGTCACTTAGTATAAACTATGTACACAATAGCAGAGGCTTGTGAAGTCCTTTTCTCCATGCATCAGGAGTTGAGCTCAGTTTGAACAATGAAAGAGAATACTCTGCACTCCAACCCTCTCTCAAATGGATAATTATGGTGATCCTCCTGATGGCCATGCTTTAGATTTTGATTTATGTTCTTCCAAAGCTAAAATCAAAGATTCCATCTAGTGGTATTTTATGGCTCAGCTGTATTTTAAATTTTTTAGATATTTTATGTTATTTGAAGTGATTTCCCTATCCACATTTGTTTGCAGGGCACTTGTCCTACTCTTACCCCCATTTTACTTCCTTTTGCAGCTCTCTAGACCTTTCCAGGAGTTTTTTAGAGGTATTTTTGTGGCCAAAAGTTCGGGTCCCCATTGTCTTCAATGGGGTTCGGGTTCAGGGTCAAGTTCTGGGTCAAGTTCTGGGTCAAGTTTGAGCCCGAACCCAGACTTTTTTTTAAAGTTCGGCCGAACCCGCCAGACCCGAACATCCAGGTGTCCGCTCAACTCTAGTCACCACCGCAATGTTGTAACAAATAAAATAATGATCTGCCATAAAAAAAAAAAAAAAAAAAAACGAGCTGATACTTTAAAATATCAGGATTTTTTTTTATTAGAAGTATCATAGAAAGAAATTGTCATCAAATTGTGTTTTATAATTTGCATCACTTTTTTGCTGTCTGTGCATTTTTTTAGGGGTTAATTTTTTTGGTGATTTTTTTATTTATTTTTTATTTGTGAGACCCAAAACCTTTTTTCAGAGCTATTAACCCCTATCCTGCCAGTGATCACTGTATAGATCACCGGCTCTTGCACAGCAGCCCTTATTTTACGGTCTGTTCATTTTTTTAGGGGTTAGTTTTTTTTAGTTTTTTTGTGACAGATCACTAAGTAAAGTGATTGTGATCATGTCACAGAGGTCGTATAGCGCTGAGGAGGCGTATGCCATCCTTGCGCTAGAGTGTGACCCATCTATGTCTGATTCCGACCCTGACCCTGATATTGATACCTTAGAGAGGGTTCAGAGAAGGGCTACTAAACTGGTTCATGGATTGCTGGATAAAACTTACCAGGAAAGGTTAAAGGATCTTAACATGTGTAGCTTGGAGGAAAGACGAGACAGGGGGGATATGATAGAAACATTTAAATATATAAAGGGAATCAACACAGTAAAGGAGGAGACTATATTTAAAAGAAGAAAAACTACCACAACAAGAGGACATAGTCTTAAATTAGAGGGACAAAGGTTTAAAAATAATATCAGGAAGTATTACTTTACTGAGAGGGTAGTGGATGCATGGAATAGCCTTCCAGCTGAAGTGGTAGAGGTTAACACAGTAAAGGAGTTTAAGCATGCGTGGGATAGGCATAAGGCTATCCTAACTATAAGATAAGACTAGGGACTAATGAAAGTATTTAGAAAATTGGGCAGACTAGATGGGCCCAATGGTTCTTATCTGCCGTCACATTCTATGTTTCTATGATTTTTACCCTGCCAGGTGCTCAGATACATCACTAGAAACAGTGTCTTCTGCTAGTGATGTATCAAGTTATGATGTATCTGTGGCTGCTAGTCCCCCTGCCAGAAGGAGACGTGCTGCTCCATCTGGCAGTGCTGCTGAGGAGTGGGTAGTGCCTTATCGCCAGAGGCCAGATATTCCACCCTTCACTTCAAATCCTGGCATCAATGTGGATGTCGCAGGATTTAGTCCTCAGCAGTTTATGGAGGTGTTTCTGGGCGATGATGTATTGGGGAACATTGTCGCCCAAACTAATTTATATGCCCTCAATTCCGTGCTGCAAAGCCCGACTCATTTTTTGGCAAAGCAGCAATGGGCCCCCATCGATGTGCAGAATTTAAAAGATTCTGGGCATTGACTATGCTGATGGGCATCATAAAGAAGCCCTCCATCCGCTCCTACTGGAGCAATAGCCCCATCTGCTCTACCCCCATTTACTCTGAGTGTATGTCGAGGAAGAGGTATGAAATGACTCTACATTTCATGCACTTCAGCGACAACAGCCTGTGCCCCCCTAGGGAGCATCCCCAGTTTTACAGGTTGTATAAACTCCGCCCCCTGATTACCTACTTTGCTGCCAGGTTTGCAGAGGCTTATACACTTGGAAGGAATATATGCGTGGATGAATCCCTGATGAAGCATAAGGGAAGGCTGGGATTCAAGCAGTATATTCCTTCCAAGCACTCCAGGTATGGTGTAAAGGTGTATAAGCTCTGCGATAGCGAGACTGGGTATACTTAGGCCTTCCGGGTGTACAAGGGGGAAGGATAGCCACCTTGACCCTCCAAGTTGCTCAGAACATATGGGAACCAGTGACAAGATTGTCAAGGACCTGATATTCCCCCTGATGAGTAAAGGGTACCACTTGTATACAGACAATTTTTATACAAGTGTCCCTTTGTTCAAGCTACTGTATTGTTTTGATCAGTTGCTTGCGGTACAATAAAAAAGAACTGCGCAGGTTTCCCAGGACAACTTGCAAGCACCCGGTAATGAAGGGGGGAGACTTCAGCTCTGCGCCAAGAGGAGCTGTTGGCAGTTAAGTACAGAGACAAGAAGGATGTGTACCTTCTTACCTCCATCCACACTGAGACGACTGTGGAAGTTATATTTAAGTTAGTGTTCATTCTAACTCATTATCAGCCCCTCAACGAAAATGTACAAATAATATATAGTTTTGTAACTAATCATTAGATCAGTTTGTAAACAAAACATACAGGAAACATTTAATGGGATTAAAGATATAGACTCCAGTGAAAGAAAAAACATACTGATGACACAAATTTTCAATGCTTCTGAAAAAAAACAAAAAAAAAAACCTTACTGATTATCTATGAAAAACTATAGCTACATGGTGACATTCGTAAAAAGGTTAGGACTGGATTACATCTTCAGTTGTATAATATTTTTTGTTAGGCAAAAGAATTTTGAGTTCCTTTATTTTTTGCATATTGAGTTATATTCATGTGTTTTATTATCATTTATTGTGTCAGTTATTGGTGATAACATAATGGTGATATTCTGGGATACAGTGTATATACAGAGTGGGCCAAAATTTAGAGTAGGGTTTGAGGAGTCGATAAAATGTTATTAATGAACCAAAATTTTTTTTTTTAAATTACATTGGCCGGCTTAAAAAATGTCCCAAATGGGACATGGGTGCATGATGACCAGCTGTGAAAATTCCAAGTTGGAAAGCTGGAATGCGCACCCTTCAAATAAGGTCTTTTAGCCCCCAAAGAACCTAACACACCTATACATGGGTGGTATCACTGTACTCAGGAGATGTTGCTGAACACATATTGGGGTGTTCGTTGTCAGTAACACATAACAGGAACTGAGAATCTATGCCTAAAGTACAATGTGAGAGAAAAATAACACAAAAAAATGACTACCCAAAAGTTAGACAGAGACTGGTGGTAGAATTAGCACATGGAAAGTGTTAAAATACCACCATTTGAAATACCTTAGGGTGTCTACTTTTCAAAAATATTTGGTTTGATGGGGTAAATTACATTGGCCGGCTTCAAAAATGTCCAAAATAGGACCTGGGTGCATGATGACCATCTGTGAAAATTCCAAGTTGGAAAACTGGAATGCGCACCCTCCGAATAGGGTCTTTTAGCCCCCAGAGAACTCAACACACCTATACATGGGGGATATCTCTGTACTCAGGAGATGTTGCTGAAAACATATTGGGTGTTCTTTGGCAGTAACCCTTAAAGTTCTCTGTACATGTATTCTTAAATTGCTATGTGTGTCAAAAAAAATCACAAATTATTATTTTTACTTTTTAAATTTGGCATAGATTGGTGGTAAAATTGTTGCATGAAAAGATTCAAAATACACCAAATTTAATACCTTAGGTTGTCTTCTTTTAAAAATTATATATGTGAAGGGTTATTCAGGGATTCCTGACATATTAGTGGTACAATGTAACTTGTGTTAATTTTGAAAAAAATTGGTTTGGAAATAGCAAAGTGCTACTTGTACTTTTAGCCCTATAACTTTCTGAAAAAAGCTAAGAACATGTTAACATTGGGCAAAAGTTCGAAAAAGTGTTTCTTTGGTTTTTTTTTAAATCTTTCATCATATTTCAAAAAATATTTTATAGTAAATTATATGATATGATGAAAATAATGGTATTTTTAGAAGGACCATTTAATGTCGAGTGAAAACGGTATATTATTATTATTATGATATTTATAGAGTGCCGTCAAATTCCGCAGCGTTTTGCAATGGGTGGACGAACAGACATGTAGTTGTAACCAGACATGTTGGACACACAGGAACAGAGGGGTTGAGGGCCCTGCTCAATGAGCTTACATGCTAAAGGGAGTGGGGTAAAATGACACAAAAAGGTAAGGATAGTATTAGACTAATGACAGTTGCAAAAGAGGAATCAGTCAGGAGCTATTAACAGTTTAATGGATACGCTTTTATGAAGAAGTGGGTTTTTAACGATTTTTTGAACGAGTGGAGACTGGGTGAGCATCTAACGGAGGAGGGAAGCGAGTTCCACAGGAACTGTGCAGCCCTCGAGAAATCTTGAAGGCGAGCATCAGAGGTGGGAGTACGGACAGAAGATAGACGTAAGTCTTCACCAGATCGTAAGGGCCTAGACGGGACATACTTGTGTATAAGGGAGGATAGATAGGTGGGAGCAGCATTATGTAGAGATTTGAAAGCAAGAACCAGAATTTTAAATTGAGCTCTATATTTTATAGGAAGCCAATGTAGGGATTGACAGAAGGGTGAGGAATGGGAGGTGCGTGCGGACAGGAAGATGAGCCTCACCGCCGCATTCATTATGGACTGTAACGGCGCTAGTTGGGAGCACGTAAGACCACTGAGAAGTGGATTACAGTAGTCAAGGTGAGAAAGGACAATAGAATGGGCCAACACCTTAGTCGCATCTGGCGTTAAGTAGGGTATATAATATGTGTCGGTACAGTAAATGAGTAAGAGGAAAATAACAGCTAAACACAAACACCGCAGAAATGTAAAAAGAGCCCTGGTCCTTAACGGTAAGACAATTGAAAAACAGTCTGCTCACTAAGGGGTTAAACAAAAATTTGAATTATATCTCTCTGCAATTGATTCTGACAGAAAAAGGGAGAAAATGAAATCCTCATTATTCCTGCATGTAGTGGGTGAAAAGGCACTGGAAGTGTACATTAACTGTGTTTTCAGAAGGAGATGATCTACAATTAATCCCAATAATGGATAAGCTTTAGAGTTGAGCGGACACCTGGATGTTCGGGTCTGGCGGGTAAGGCCGAACTTTGAAAAAAAGTCCGGGTTCGTCATCGAACTTGACCCCGAACCTGAACCCCATTGAAGTCAATGGGAACCCAAACTTTTGGCCACAAAAATGCCTCTAAAGTCCTGGAAAGGGCTAGAGGGCTGCAAAAGGAAGTAAAATTAGGGTAAGAGTAGGACAAGTGCCTTGCAAACAAATGTGGATAGGGAAATCACTTAAAATAACATTAAAAAAAAACAAAAAACAGCTGGTCATAAAATACTACTAGATGGAATCTTTGATTTTAGCTTTGGAAGAACATAAATCGAAATCTAAAGCATGGCTGTCAGGAGATGCATTTCCTGCAGTCCTGATGCATGGAGAAATGCTCAATTCCTGATGCATAGAGAAAAGGCCTTCACAAGCCTCTGCTATTGTGTACGTAGTTTATACTAAGTGACCCATAGGTTGAGGAGGCGGTGACCGTGGTGGTGTAGATGGAAGCGGCGGTAGAGGAGGAGGTAGCCAACACTGTTTTTTATACATATATTTATTTTTTTATTTTAATTGGGGTAGCCCCCAAAATATTGGGACATACAAAAAAAGAAACATTAGCTGCCTCTGGTGCATTTCCTGCAGTCCTGATGCATGGAGAAATGCTCAACTCCTGATGCATGGAGAAAAGGCCTTCATAAGCCTCTGCTATTGTGTACATAGTTTATACTAAGTGACCCATAGGTTGAGGAGGCTGTGACCGTGGCGGTGTAGGTGGAAGCAGCGGTGGAGGAGGAGGTAGCCAACACTGTTTATATATTTTTTATTTTAATTGGGGTAGCCCTCAAAATATTGGGACATATAAAAAAGAAAACTATTCCTCAGAGTGACTGACCCATGCGTGCTGCATCTGAAACTGCACTATCGATCATGAGGAGGTCAGTGGGAAGGCTGAAGTTACGCTGCAGCGCAGACAGGTGAGCAGCAGCAGGGTGAAAATGCCAAATCGTGCACAGACGGCACGCACTTTCTGCAGCAGCTCTGATATATCTGGGTATACACCGTAGCATCACAAGGGCCACCAAGAACTGGCTCAACTCCCATCGAACCAAGTTCGTCATGCTAGAGCACTTTTTCAATGTGCTCCCAACGAGAAGGTGATGATGCATTCGTATGTCAATCCATATCAACTTTCTGCGCCTACCATGGTGACCACGGGTAACGGGGAATCAGGGTTCGATTCCGTACAGGGACCCTGACAAACAGCTACCACAGGCAAGGAAGGCAGCAGGCGCGCACATGACCCACTCCCGACGGGGGAAGGTAGTGACGACAAATAACAATACATACAGTCCACTTGAAATCCTTTAACTCTGATCAATTGGAGGGAAGTCTAGTGCAGAGCCACTGACCCGTGCGTGCTGCAGCTGAAACTCCACTATCACCTGCTGCTGCTCAAACAGTCTCTCCACCTTGTGTGCACGTCGCATATGAGGCAGTGAGCGGGAAGGCCAAAGTTACGCTGCAGCGCAAACAGGCGAGCAGCAGAAGGGTGAGAATGCCGAAAGCGTGCACAGCCGCTACAGTAAATGTCACATCCTGTTCCAAGTCTGGTGATTGCTTCTGGTATCCAGTACTCTTTTTACTGAAGCTGCATCAGGGTCCTGGTATGTGGCCGCACAAATGCTGGTGCTCAACACCAGGGGGCATGCGGTTACCCTGCACCAAACCCTGCTAATCCATTCCATACTGTGACTCCTAACTTCTACATCAGGCATACTGGGTCCCGGTCACCAGACTGCAAAACTGCGAATGGCTCGTTAAATCTGTTATAGTTCTTTTTATCGCTTCAACTGTTACTTGAATAACTGTGGGAGTTCTAAAGATAATACATGCCGACGAGCGCTAGGGGACGGCCGCTCCGCTTTTGCACCCTGCTCCCGTTTATGCTGTGCTGGTGTCTCTGTGCGACCATCGCCTCTAACTCCAAACTGCACATGTCACTCGGATGACCTTCATCATCTTCCACCCACTCCTCAACCCCGCCCTTCTTGCCGGTATGCACACTGCAGAAAGCCATAGCAGTTGGCACCTGTGTTTTTCCAGCATGTAAAGTCTGCAAAGGACATATGGAAATTGTTTTAGAATTGTATCCATGCAACAGTTTTCCCTATAAACTGACCTCTCAGTTTGACTTGTGAGGGTATTGCTCCAGAATTATTATATTTTTTAAGTACCTCTTAGCTATTGATAACTGGTTTAAATATAGCAGCTTGTTATCTGGCAGTTTCTAGTGTAGAAAATATCAATCTGTTTTCTATCACTTAGATCTGTTTAACAAGTGTTGTAGGTGTGAAACAATATTACAAGTGACCGATGTAGTAAATTCGAATCAAAGTTCCAATTGCCAAAAAAAATTCTTGCCCATCTTCTGTGGGTTATTGCATTTTTAAGATGTAGACTTATTGTATCACACTAGCCATGCACAGGTAGATTGTCTGGCACGTTGTTTTGGTGTTTGGTTTTTAACTTTGTAGTTGTGTCTTTACACAATATAGAAATGTGTGTGTATATATATATATATATATATATTTTTTAATTCTTTATTTTATTTGTGGATGTGCACATATAATACATAGGTACAGTATTTTTGTTATCCACTTTTTGTTTTAAAGGTAAAAATATAGTAGCTAAACATGCATATTCAACTTTATCATTAAAATAGCATAATTGCGGTGTTTGATCATGTGCTAAATGTTGCTTGTGTGTTATACGTGAGCTTATCTCTACCGAGCCTGGTTAGAGACTCGGTTGGTTGTCCCGTGATGAGGCAGACGTGGTCCCTTGGTCTGGGTAGGTGCTAGTGTGTGTGCTGGTGTCTGCCTGTAAGTATGAGTGAAGTGAGAGCCTGGTTATTATGGCTCTGGGTTGTGCGATGTGCGTATGTGTGTTTGTAATAACTAGCATTCTCGCTGGGAGAGGGCGCTCAGGTGTCGCTGCCAGAGGGAGGGTTGGCTCCAGTGGTGCCCTCCTGAGTCTTGGCTGGGGGTCGCCAGTGCTGTCATGTGGAGGTGAGTGGTTAGTAGGTGAGCGTGTGGGGGTTTTTAAATTGGTTGGGAGACGTATGTGTGCTGACTTACTGGTATGTGCCGCTACTGGGGTGTGTTCCAGCCGCAGGTGGTCCGAGCTTCGTGTGGGTAGTGCTCGAGGTGAGCTCTTGCGTGGTCTTGCATACATTTGTACATATTAAACATTCCAATGTGTTAAACTTTAAAGCACTAGGTCGTTGAGGGTGTCCCCAACTGGGGTGTAAATGTAGCCACGGATAGGGAGGAAGTGTAACTTGGGTGAATGTCCCGTGCCAACAGTCTCTGGGTTTTAGTCTCCTGGGTCCGCTGTGGATGTGCAGGGACCTCGTGGTTCGAACAAGGTGATGTTCTCCACATCCCACTGCTGTGTCCGTGAGCTGCGCTTCCCTGGTTCCGTCTGTGTGGTGATGCCATGCTGGGTTAGAAACAGTTTGCCCTCTGCTGGTGAGTGTAGCGTATGGACATTCCCCTCCACAGTGACCTGGAGGGAGCGTGGTGTGCTCCAGCGGTATGGTGTCTTTCTCTGCCTCAGCACACTGGTGACCGGGCGCATGGTTTGCCTCCGTAGCATAGTAGGCTTTGAGAGGTCATTATAAAATGTCAGGGTGTGCTGCTCAAAGGACAGGGAGGGTGAATCCCTGACCACTGCCATGATTGCCATTTTGTCCAGGTGTGTCACAAGTTGTATGATGACATCACTGTTCGTTTGTTGGGGCAGTCTGCCCTGCCTGCGGATTCTGTAGATTTTGTCTATCAGGATGTTTCTGGCCTGCTAGTGTGGAAGTATGTGCTGAGTCAGGTGTCTCATGTGGCAGTTCCAACTTCTCCACCGAGGTAGGGATACCTTTAATTTTGATATTCTTGCTGCGGTTGCGGTCTTCATATGCCGTAAATTTTGTGTAATTGTGGCTTGTGAATCTGTTAGCCGCTTCTGTGGTTTGCTCGGCTTTGAGGTGAGCAGACGTCTCCTCTACAGCCTTGAGTCGTACTGTGTGTGAGAGCATATCTTCCCTCAGTATTGCTAGGTCCGCTTGGAACATCTTGCGGATGTCTCGGAGGAGCGATTTCATATCCCCTTTTGTGGCTGGGGTGTTGTTCTCTTCATCTGAGGATTCCATATGCAGGCCGCCAGCTTGGGGGATCTCATCCAGTGTGTCTAGAGAGGCTTCCTCCTCGGACGACGAGATTTCAGCATGTTGGTCCACCATTTTGGGCGCCATGCGAGGGAGGTTTCCCTGCATGTATTGCCCGATATTTAGGGTTCTTGAGACCAGGGCTGCTTTAGTCTTCTTGGCCCGCTTTCCCATTGTGGTATTGGGGTACTGGGCGGTGTTCCAGAGGTTTTTCTCCCGGTTAGCTGTGGTCTTTTAGGCTTATTAGTACGGAGCTACTGTTCTGCACGTCTGTTCGGTTTGCTGGCTTGGCTCTGCCCCCTCAATATAGAAATGTATATTGTAGCGGATGGCACTGGGCTGTCCTGGGAATTGTATTAGTTTCGACTGCATTCGTGTAAATGGTAAAGTTATATGTGTTAAATGTATTGTGTGCGTCTGATTGTTCGGTAGTTTCATTCCCTTAGTTTGTTCAAATGAATCTACCGAACAGTCAGACCTCCCATGTGTGAAGTGTGTCTTCAATTACCCGTTGCAACATTGTTGCGAACGGGTAATTGACAAGCTGAGTAGCAGTCCTTTGTTCTCGGGGGTGGCCGCCATTCGTGAAACAAACACGTGGCGGCGGCCATTTTAAAACTCCGGAACAGTGGTGTTTTGCCGTCGAGTGTCTGGAACTCAAATCAGGCACTCGACTAGGCGAACACCGCTGAGACCTCCACAAGCCCGGTCCGTTCGGTTCCAAACTACCGAACGGCCCCTCGTTCGGTAGGTAAAAACAACCGAACGAGGGGATTCAGGCGAACCCTCCCCAGTCTCTGTAACTAGAGGCTTTCGTGTGATTTATTCCCTTGTTCCAGGACCGACCGCAGGGCGCCCAATTCGGCTATTCCCTCCATGAATTTCCCGAACCCTTGGTCTGATCTGGGTGATTTTTGGATATGTTGTTCACCCAGATCAGGTCTACCAGGGGATGTATAATTTAAAGTGGTACCCTAGGTTTAGGGGTACATCCAGAAACGGGGGGAATTGGTGTCCTGGATAAGGGGATTATGATGCAGGCTGAGGGGAGGGGATGTGTGGGAGGTTACCGGAACAGGATTGGATACTCTAGTAATTGATGGAAATCCCTCCCTTGCATGGGAGCAGGCTGAAATAAAGGTTTTTAGTTCTGCTCCTGATACTGTGTGTCGTCCAGTTATTGGGATTGCTGTTCGGATACTGCTGGATTATTTTACCTGCTGGAAACCTTGCATTATGGATTTATAATTACTTGTTCCTGAGCCTTACTGGGATCTTAAGCGGAGATAACCTTTGGAATAATGGATCTCCGCTACATATATTAATGCTTCTGTATATGAAGCAATCACAATAACACTTATTTTTCACTTTTTTTTAAAAAAAAATCAGGCTAAACAAAAATTGGTAATTAACAATATGACATCTGAAAAACACATGAAAGGATGCTTTAAAAAAAGAACACACTACATGAAGGTCTTGTTCACTAGAGTGTGTAGTCATGAATGTAATGAATGTAACCAGTAAAACTTTTTACAGCCATTGGTTGGCCCATACATATTTTAAAACTTGTTTAATTTTGTTATAGCATGTAGTCTTGTTTTTAACTTGTTTATAATACATATTTTTGTATGACACTTAGTGTGTTTTTTCATTGATTATTGAATTTTAATGGTCTAAGATAATTAACATGTCAACAGGCAAACGTAACCCGATTGATTTGTCTCAGTCTTGCCTTCTATATTACCTGCACCATAGGTAATATTTATTTGTCTTTAGACTTTCTTGAGAAGCGGTAACTAGCCAGTGTTGCATACCAGATATGAAGTGCACACCCCAAATGTACTATTTAGCACCCAGAAAATCAGAATGTTTACAATTGCGCTGTAAGTGCACTATTTGACGCTTCGATTTGACCCTCAGATATGAAGAGCAGGCCCAAAAAATTTACTATTTAGCACCCAGAAAATAAGAATGTTTACCACTGCGCTGTAAGCACACTATTAGAGGCTTCTATTTGACTCTCAGATTTGAAGTGCACGCCCCAAAATGTACTATTTAGCAGATTAGCACCCAGAAAATAAAAAATTTTACAACTGCGCTGTAAGCGCACTATTTGACGCTTCAATGTGACTCTCAGATATGAAGTGCACCCCACTAAAATACTATTTAGCAGTTTAGCACCCAAAAATTTTTGAGTTTTAAAACTGCAATGGGACAGCAGTATTTGACGCTTCTATTTGACTCTCAGATATGAAGTGCCTCCCACTAATTTACTAGTTTGCAAAATGCTTTCCTAAGCTGTCCCTCACAGCGGCAGCATCCTCTCCCTACACTAATAAGACCTCATGTGCGTGCGACACGACTCCAGCATACATATAAAGGTTGGGTCACATGCTGCACTGGCCAATCACAGCAATGCCATTTGTAGGCATGGCTGTGATGGATTCTAAGGGCACAGGAGTCAAACGCTTGTTGATTGGCTTTTGAAAACGCGCCATTAAATCGCCGAACACCGAACTCCAACCCGAACATACAGTGATATGTCCATGTTCGGGTCGGGGGTCCAAAAAACTTTACAGTCCGGGTTCGCTCAACTCTAATAAGCTCAAAATAATATTGCTTAACTAAAAGGAATGTCACATATGAAAGGCACAGATTTTTGACATGCATGCATAAGCCAGGAGAAATGATTGATCAGCATGTAAATAAGCTGAGAAATTGCAGCAAAATATGATGGATGGCAGGATTGTCACTTTTCGGAGACATGCCAAAGGAAGATCCCAGTGCTTATACATCATTTATCGTATCCGCAGAGATCCGTGGCGAATGTTGCTATTGACAAAGCCTTTTGCACTGTGTTTTATGCATCATTTGACTGGACGGTTGAGTTGGTTTGGCGCACAGGCAAGGGGGCGTCGATATCCATGGCTGATGTGGAAGGGGCTGGTTGGTCATTGCTCATTCATATGGATTGTCACCAATTGCTGGGCTGTTGTTGAGGGACAATATTTTGTTGCTGTATGTCTGCTGATGGAGTATTCCATCTCATGTGCGTACTTTGGAAAATTCATGGATAGGGTTGAGCTGAGTATGGAGTTTGGGGCGTATTTCGCTGGCCGGTGGGATGCGGGAACATGGCCGGATAAGTGGATGTCCAACTCACTCTTTCGCAATCTGTCGTTCGGAAATTTTCCACTAGTGGTGGCATTGGCGGGGACCCTTGTTGGGACGTATCTGTGGGTGAGGCTGTTATTGGTTTAGTTGCGTCTGTTATTACTGTCATTCGGCTGCTTCCCTATTTCGTTCTTGTAACGGCACCCTCAGGCATAAAAGGGTTAAACCGCCATTTAGTAGATCTTCCCTTCCAGAGACACAGGCACAGCTACTGTAGAACACCAATCCGCTGAACAGGAAACCATATGAATGCCGTAAACAGCCAAATAGGAAAAACCGTACGAAAGGTTTACACTCCTAGCAGTCGAACTGGAACAGCATACAATAAATCCCCCCAAGAATGAGACAAAGCTCTGTGTTGAGGGTCAAGCAGTGAACAGACAGAGCTGTGGGTTTATTGTACATTAGTACCACCCACAGGGTTTTGGAACACAACCAATAAACACATACAATACACTCAGACACAAAATCCTCCCCTCTGCCTGTGATTCAATTACCTTACACAATGGGTAATGTAATTATAACAAGCAGAGAAATACAATTTTTCCACATTATTCATAACTTGAAAAGTATGCATCACATTCACATAAAACTTACATTTTCAGAATCAGCATACTCCAAATACGTCAAAATCATACAAATTGGTCCAGTGGTTCAAAAGATAGATCTTAGTCCTTTGTGACCAAAGGAAGCATGGCTTTTCTGCCCAAAACCAGTTCCACAGAGTCTTCTATCCTGGAGATAATTGGGAAGTAATCTGAATGGCGCTCAGAGCACACACATACAGTTCAATTGCCATGGAGCCAAAGTCTTTCATTATACGAATGGGCTCAATGGCATAGCTATCTGGGGTATCGCCGCTCAAACAGGGCAAGCATCAAATGACCCGGCTTTCATGTCTTTGCAGGGGAAAATCAAGCCTTTTAACATTGGGGCCATAATCCAAAGGCAACAGCTGAGCAACCAGGCTTCTCCAATGCAATGTGGCGAGATGGGTCTCGTCACAGTTCTTTTTGCTGGCAGTTATAGGTTGTGTTCTGTGCGCATCAGGTACCTGGGTTATGAAATGTAGTAGCTGCTTTGCTTTCTTGTGTTCCAGTGAAACGGTTTCAGGAGGTGACCTTGGGTGTGCATGAGGAGGATGTGCTATGGCCAGAGATGTGTGGTAGATTGGATCATATTGCTTGATGGACTCATAAGGGGGTCGTTTACGATGTCCAGCTTGGACGGCCTTCGTTATGATTTGGAACGAATTGGACGGTGCAGAGGCAACACTTTGTTGTGGTTCCTTTGCCGTTCTTGAGATTGTGCATAATGACAACTTTGTTTTTTTTCTATTTAAGCTTAATGCTTGGGAGGATTTGACAAAACCTTTCCTTGTGCGTCAGGCTATTAAATGATTTCAGAGAGGGAGATAGTCACAAGGTTCGCGCCGACTGTTATCTTTTGTAATCTGCAAAGTTTTGCTGGGTGCAGTTCTTGGTGCTTGTTTTTCAGAGTACTGAATTGCGTGGTTTTCAGTGGAATTTAGTTGTATTGTATGTTGGCTTTTCAGTCAGTCCGTGTGGGATAGGCGGTTCCTTTTTGTTGGCTGCCAATGGTCCTTCATTGTCGAAGTTTCAGTTCTGTAAGGTCTTTGGGTTGGCCTTGGGCGCATCGGTTTGGTTCCATTGCAGTTCAGTACACACTCGTTTAGGATTGGAGCTGCGACAGAGGCTGGGTCTAGGGGATGATCCGGTCCAAACAAGATAGTGTGATGAGAATCAGTAAGATTCAAGTAATGTGTGAGGCCCAGCCATTTATTTTAGGTATTGGTTGGGGGGTGGTTATTTCTGTTAATTATTAACATGTTTTTCTCACATGGGTGGACAGTTTGGTTGCTGGAAAACTTGTATGTGTATTGAGCACGAAAGAGAGCCGCAGCTCGTCGTCGTGACATGCAGCTGTGCTATACGCACTCATTGGCGAAACTTGTGTGCTTGGTTCAAGGGGGGCCAGTTTTGAGCTTTTCAGGAGGATTAGTATGGGGGCAAGTGCCTAATGTAGTTTTGATTCCTGCAGGGGGGTTTGACCTGGGTCTGGTTTCACAAAGGGATTTCTCTACCGGGCTGCAAAAATGGATTTGGATGGGCTGAGGCAGGGGATCTCTGCATGAGATGGTCCCACTGTTCCAGTGGTGTCATGTCAGGTATACTGGGTCAGTGGTAGAGAGCAGAGGAAGGTGACTAAATTGCTGGCTACGAATGCTAGACAGGTGGGGGGTAGTCATTCGGCACAGGGAGTCTGAAGCTCAGCTTTTGGGTTATCTTTCAGACAGTATGCATTTTGTTGCTAGAGTTTCAGGCAGGGTTGCTACAGCGTTGTTTGGTGTGATGCTGAGGGTGGTGATAGTGAGGGGGGTAATGGTGGTGAGGGAGGGTGATAGAGAGGTGGGTGATAATGAGGGGGGTAATGCTGAGGTGGTGAGGGTGGTGATGGTGAGAGGTAATGCTGAGGGTGGTGAGGGGGGTAATAGTGAGGGGTGTGATGCTGAGGGTGGTGAGGGGGGAGGATGGTGAGGGTGTGAGAGGGGGTGATAGTGAGGGGGGGATGCTGAGGGTGGTGAGGGGGATAATAGTGCCCCCCATCCCTCACTTACCTGATCTGTAGGCTGCCTCTGTGCTGCTCCCTTGCGGTTTCAGTCATGAGCGAGAGGCAGGGATAAGCTGTAGCTTCCTGTCTTTTAACATTCATATCGCCACCTACTGGCCGGCGCTGGTATTGCAGTGTATTCTCACACAAACCAAAAATCGCAGCACAAGATGAAAAATTCAGGGGGGGGGGGGCAAGTGCCCCCTCTTGCGCCCCCCTGCGGACGCCCATGCTGCATCCATTGCTAAGTGAACAAAAACTAAAAGTCCTCATAAAACATAGAAACATAGAATGTGACGGCAGATAAGAACAATTTGGCCCATCTAGTCTGCCCAATTTTCTAAATACTTTCATTAGTCCCTGGCCTTATCTTATAGTTAGGATAGCCTTATGCCTATCCCACGCATGCTTAACCGTGGTTGCGTGCCCGGGAATCTTCATTAAAGCTTTGCCGCTCAGAGTATTAGCTGTAGGGCCTTCATCCTTCCAATCATATTTAGGTGCCCGTGTCCTGGTATCCTCTTGGATAGTATGGCAGCAGTGCTTGCCTGGACACCCACCGATCTCCATGTCAACAGTGGGTACTGAGCTTTCCTCAGTGATATTCCCCCAGGCCTGTGGCCAAAAGGGGGTTCGGGCACAGATAGATCAGACCAACGATGGGCACAGGTATAGCAGGGCAGACAGAAGGGCACAGACATAGTAGGCCAATCAAATGGGCGCATAACTAGCAGGCCAATCAATGGGGCACAGACATAGCAGGCCAATCAATGGGGCACAGACATAGCAGGCCAATCATAAGGGCACAGACAGAGCAGGCCAATCCTGGTTGCGTATTATATGAGTAATGGGGACCCCTGAGTTTGGGCAAAGTCCCCTAAATATGAAAGCTAACTTTGGCCAGTGTTTGTGACTAAGTGGCTACTAAAAAAGACTAAACATACCCCACGTTCAATACCTTGGGTTGTCTACTTTTTCAAATGGTATGCCATTATGGGGGTAAGTCTCATTCTTCGGCTACCACACCGTCTCAAAGGTAACATTACTAATCTGGCAAATTTCAATTTAAAAACGGAATGTTCTATATTTGACCCTGTAACTTTCCAAAACACCATAAAACCTGTTAATGGGGGGTACTGTTGTACTCGTGAGACATCGCTGATTACAAATATGGGCATTTTTTTGCAGTAATACCTAACAGTATTATCAGGGCCATCTTTAGCGTGGGGCAAACGAGGCAGCTGCCCCGGGCCCAGTTGCTCCTGGGGGGGCCCCAGAGCAGCTGCCCCGTGGGCCCCGCGATTTCAGCAGCCCCCATGTACCCCATGTACTAAGGGCCACCCTGTGGGCATGTGGCAGAAGGGGCCCGGTCGGGCGCTGTGACGCTTAAACAGCGCGACCGGGCCCCTTCCTGTACCAGCTGGGAGGAAGTGAGTACTGCGTGTCACTTCCTCCCACCGGAGATAGCCGCACGGGAGGAGGAAGGCAGGCAGGAGGGGAGTTCCAGAGAAGAACTCCCATCTGCCTCAGCCTGCCACTGGACCCCAGGGAAACCACCCTCCATAAAAAGGTAAGAACCTGGAGGGTGGCTAAATGTATGTGTGTGTGTTAGTATGTCTGTGTGTGTTAGTATGTCTGTGTTTGTGTGTTAGTATGTCTGTGTGTGTGTGTTAGTATGTCTGTGTATGACTGTGTGTTAGTATGTCTGTGTGTGTGTGTTAGTATGCCTGTGTGTGTGTGTTAGTATGCCTGTGTGTGTGTGTTAGTATGCCTGTGTGTGTTAGTATGTCTGTGTGTGTGTGTTAGTATGCCTGTGTGTGTTAGTATGTCTGTGTGGTGTGTTAGTATGCCTGTGTGTGTTAGTATGTCTGTGTGTGTGTTAGTATGTGTGTGGGTTAGTATGTCTGTGTGTGTGTTTTAGTATGTGTGTGGGTTAGTATGTCTGTGTCAGTATGTCTGTTTGTGTATGTATGTCAGTATGTCTGTGTGTGTCTATGACAGACATACTGACATACACACACAGACACACTGACATACACACACACACAGACACACAGACATACTGACACACACACACAGACATAAACACACACTGACATACACACACACACATACTGACATACACACACACAGACATATACACACAAACATACTGACATACACACACAGACATACTAACACACACAGACATACTGACATACACACAGACATGCTGACATACACAGACAGACATTCTAACACACCACACAGACATACTAACTAACTACTGTGTGTATGTCTGTGTGTTTGTATGTCAGTATGTCTGTGTATGTATGTCAGTATGTCTCACTGTGTTCCAGTGTGTGTGTGTGTATGTCAGTATGTCTGTGTATGTCAATACGCCTGTCTGTGTGTGTCTGTGTCAAAATATCTGTCAGTGTATGTGTCTGTGAGTATGTATGTGTCTGTGTGTGTATCAGTATGTCTGAATGTGTGTCAATGTTTGCCAGTATATATTTTTGTGTCAGTGTATGTGTGTGTCAGTATGTATCTGCGAATGTTTTAATGTGTCTGTCTGTGTGTGTATGTGTCAGTATGTCTGTCAGTGTGATTGCGGGTTGAGCTTAATGGGGAGGGAGGGTGCAGTGACAGGGCCCAGGGGGCCCAAGAAAAGGCTTTGCCCGGGGTCCTATTCATATTATAGACGGCCCTGAGTATTATGACATTTACAGCTGAAATGTGAGGCAGAACTACATTTTATTCATAATAGATTATGTTTCATATATAAATATTTGATATGAAATGAAAGCCCTGTTTCTCCTGAACAAAATGATATATAATAAGTGTGGGTGCATTTAATATGAAAGAGGTGAATTACGGTTGAACAGACAAATAGCGCAAATTACAGTTTTTGTTTACGTTTTGTTTTGATCAGAACGTGTACTATTGACTCCGTCCTGAAGGGGTTAAGACTATGTCCTCTTGTTGTGGTAGTTTTTCTTCTTTTAAATATAGTCTCCTCCTTTAAGTGGTTGCTGACTGCCGAGGGTAGTTATTTTTTTTATTTTGATTAATACCATGAATCCAGGTGAAGAGGGATCCCATCTTCTAACAACACACCAATATTTTGGATTTTTTTTGAGTACCTGACACACACTATTTACTAACAACACAATGCATACCTGTGCATATCAAACACAAAGAAATGAAGGCCCCCTTTAAATAGTCATGATTAAGTGGATCCCTTTACATTAAGGACATCACCCAAATATTCTCAGCTATCCATAATTTCCTCTGAAAGGAGCATGAATCACTTGACCTTTTTCACAGATATATAAAGCCGGAAAAACTTTGAAAAGTGTGTAACAAACTTTAATAAACTTGGTCAGATTGCATTGTGGGCACACCAGCCAAGGAAGCTTCACACACCACTTACCCACACAACTCTGTTTTAGACTAGTCCTCTAATGACAGAAAAAGGGCATTATTGTGCAGCAGCAGTAGTGAAAAACCTGACATTGGAGCTTTCTCTTTATGATCACACTGATCAGACATCCTTTCTTCTCCCCCTGTCAGGATGTTGCAAGGTAGGCGTGTGCAATGCACTTTTCCAGTATTCCTAGGGAAAGGACACCTGTGTGGTTGTGGAAAGCATAAGAAAGAAGAAGCAGGTAAAATAAAGAAAAAAACATACTTTTTTTTTCTCTAAAGCATGTAGAGGTGTAAAGTACAAATGTATATATACTACTTAATAGGCAACATAACATGCTGTACATCCCCAAACTAACTTTTACCATTGCTATGTACTAAAGCTATTATTCACAACATTAGTATATTAATAACTTCTGAGGAAGTAATGTGAAAATCACTGCAGTGAACTGAGCAGTGAGTAGAGGTTACTACTAATATATATTCCTACCTGTAGTGTGCCTTTAAAACTAATTTCTAGTCCACTTAGTCAAGATAAGGGATACAAAATGAACAATGTTCTGATTCAAACTAATTTCTTATATCCAAGAAACAAAATTAATGGCTATTAGCTTATGAAAAAGATAAAGTAGCACTGATTGCTACAAAAACAAAATCTCTGGCCACTCAAATATGGCCAGAACCTAAAGCTATCCCAATGCAGCTATTAGAAAAAAAGAAATTCCGAATGTGAAAAAATATGCAGAGAAAAAAATTAATTCCCCCAGCTGAAAGGCATTGAAACGTTTAAACCCACCCCAATCATCTTGAATTGTATCAGAGTGCAGGGATTGGTAGGCTTGGAAAAGTGAATTGCCTTATAATATGTATATATATTTATTGGGCAGACTAGATGGGCTGAATGGTTCTTATGTGTCGTCACATTCTATGTTTCTATATTAATTAATATACTAACCTTATCAGACATGTTTTCCTTAACATAAATTGTACTTATTTTTTTTTTTTCCATGTTCTCTCAGATTTAATTTGCAAATTATAACCTTGTGGATCTACTCCTCAATCATCTTGTATTGGTTCCTGGGTGTCTTGCAGAATTCCCGCTTCTCTCTGCATATCTTGAGCATATCTCTTCTCGACCAAGAATTCAGGCCTTCCTGTCTAGTGATGCCCACAAGAATGACCCCATCAATGGAAACAGCAAACAGTAATTCAATAATTCCGGCAAGATTAGAATCATGGTCTAAATATCCTGAGGCCTTTCTTATAAAATCAATGTGTGTTTCACAGCTTGGGCACCAGAGCAAATTTAAAAAATAAATTTGAAAAAAAAAAAAGTATGATTCTTGTCCTGTTCTTCACTCCACACTATCCCACAATCCTCCACAATACACTTTATGCAATAGGCTGCAATACAAGCATTCCTGATACAGAATATAAAAGTGAACTGAAACCAATTGATATTAATATAAAAATACAACCATTAGTAACATCAATACTTGTGTTCTCTTTCTGAGATCTAAATAGTATCTGTTCTGCCAAAGGGATTATGAAATGTAATTGGAACAGGGATAACTAGTCCCCAGCTTGGGATCCAGACCTGCTATTTCACTTGTCCCATTCATCTCCCACTGTCTGGGGCTTGTACAACTATTCTCCAGTGTAAGGTCTTGGTCTCTGCCCAATGAACTGGCAAGGTATTGTCCCCTCTGCCAAATCTGCCACTGCACTGTATTTGTTACACGTTTTTTTATTTTTATGGCAAGGAATAGACTGAGCACATATTTGTTTATCCATCTAAATACAAATTAATTATTGATAAATATAGTAAATAATGACAATACGAACGCCACGTTAACTTGCCTATTTGCACGAATAGTCCCCGTTCGTGCATTTGAACAGTATTTAAACTATGGTGAATAGACCGGCCGCACAGCCCAAATCTGTGGAACTGTTTTGGGCATGAAAATGTGCGGGCGGTCGGTCAAATGAGACTACCAGCTATCTCCTGAACCACTGGACCTATTCGGATGATGCGCCGGGGTCTCTGCTGTCTCCACCCACCCTGGACCCAAGGCCAGGATCCAGCTTCCAGTGGGTGAACCTCTCTTTCCCCAGAGAGCAGGAACAGGAACAAGCTCTTAGCAGAACTTAGTGATCATACCCTGGGGAGTATAGTGATTATAGCAATCCCCAGAGTGTATTTCTCCAATCCCCCAAACATGAGCCAAAGCTTAATGCTGGAACAAGACTGATTTACTGGCACACAGAACTCACAATTTATGCAACACAAAACTCCTCCTATGGGCCAGGCTAGATAATTGAGTTTCTACAATACACAAAGCTCAATTATCTGCTGGCCAGAAATAATACAGTTTTTACAGCATATTCATAACTTCTAAAATATACATCACATTCACATAAAAATTATATATTCACAATCAATCCATTCAGGGAAACAACATATCAAAAAATGGCATGAATCAGACCAGGGGTTCAGAAGTTAGTAAAGTATCTTTTGGGGCCTGGCTGGCAGCATGGATATCTGGCCCAAACTGGTTTTACAGAGCCCTCTAGCCTAGAGACAATGGGGAAAGTAATCCAATTATCCAGGGATAGAAGCAGACTCCATTGAGCACATGTTCCCAGTAAAACACAAAAGGATACAAAAATACATAACTCCTATCATACTGAATTGAACGGGCCAAATCTCCCAGGGTCCATAGTCACAGGACAAGAGGTGGGCAAGCAGTCCTCTCCAGGCACAAGTGGCGAAGGGCACTTCGTCACAGGAGGAATTTACTGTAATGAATGGGAGTGTTTAACTGTGTGACTGTAAATGATTGGTTGTTGAGTTTGTGTTTTCAGTGCACAACAAGGTCCACATGGGTGGTAACTTTGTGGGAAAACTTGTATAAAAGAGACAATAAAGCCTCAGTGCATTCTGTTCCTGTTTGACCCTCAACAAGTAGTCTTGTCTCATGATTGGAGGGGAACTCCTATAATCACACTGGGGATTGCTATACTTTGTATACTCCCCTGAGCTCTAATCACTTAGCTCTTTTAAGAGCTGTTCCTGATATGCTCTCATGGAGGAGAGGACTTTCCCACACGGTCCTGGAGGACAGAGGCTGATCCAGGGTGGAAGGAAGACGGCGAGGCTCCAGTTAAGCTAAGGCGGTTGCGGAGTCTGCGGTTGTTGTGGTGTCCGGTGCAGTACTTGTGGTCCTCGGAGCAAGCTAGGAAGAGTCCGTCAATGGAAGGTACTTGGTCGGAGTACAGGTGATCCGTTACAATCACCTTCTCAGGTTTAGCTGAGGAGGTCGGAAAGGAAAGGTAGCACCCAGCTCCAATGTATAGGTTTGTGGCATGTGAGGATGAAGAGCAAATAGAACAAACTGGGGACTTGAGGCCCACAAAGTGCCTGCAAAACAGCTCTGTGTCCAACTGTCTCCAGTCCATCTGCAAATTGAACTGATCCAGAGCTGCAGATGCCTTTGCGTAGAACGATCTATGGTAATCATAAAATTATGTACCTCCATACTTATGCCCCAGATCCACCAGTTTGTGTAAATACAGATCGAATTCCACTCTGTGCTCGGGATACCGAGCACACCACATCCCTATAAATATCGAAGGCCAGGACTAACTCAGGAATTGACAAATTCCTATTCAACCTGGGGTCCGTAGCCTTCTGTACAACAGAGACATCGCCATAGGAATAAGTCTTGGGAGGCAATCAGCAGCGAACTAGATTGACATCCTGCCCTCCAAGATATCCTTCTTAATATTAGCTAGCTTATCACTAGCATCCAAACGGTCCAGCCTATCGGTAATATGTCCAAACGAGGACAAGACTGATGATAGGACGGCCTGGAGGTCAGATGACTGGGCACCACTGGTGCCCTCACCAGCTCCAATGTTATCAGTTTTGGTGTTGAGCAGTCTATAAAGTTCTGACTGGCAGTGGCAGGGTAGGGAATGTTCCAGTGCCTTAATTCAGCCATGATCCTAGGTATGATCCAAGAACTAAGGAAAGACGGGCATGGCATTGTCCCCTCCATGAGATGAACCTTGCAGTAGTGCTGGAACTTGACAAATCCTCAATAGCTTCTGGCAGTTCAGACATGCTAGGATAGGACAAAAAATTAATGAATAACAAAGGTGATAATATTGTACTGGCTAGCTACCTAATACCAAGTGGCGAAGAAATTATCTAATAATAGAGAGGGGAGCTATATCAATTGCCAAGTGGCATGGGAGACTCTAGCCCAAAGGGAATTTGTGGCCACCGAAAAATGTGTCAGGGTGTCGGCCTCTCGGTGACCAGTAAAGCAAAAGATAGCATGGGAGTGACAGGGGGAGACCCTCTCTATACCACCATGCGAGGCGACTAACTATGAGGTGGCTATTGGGCCTGAGTACCACAGAGTATGAGAATGGGTATTGGCCTCATGAGACTCAAAGTAAAGGCAAGAAGTCCAGAAAAACTAAATAAGTGGACTCTGAAACCTATCACCCAGTAGACAAATTCTTACCCTAGTGCCAGTTGCAGTATCGGGAAGTGTAACGACCACTGGATTCACATACCTGTTGTTGGGTATAGAGTAGGACAGAGTAACATCAGAACCTCCAACAAAGCATAACTAACTACTAATTGAATAATTGACAGAAGAAAAAAGACCCACCTACAGTGAGTGGAACAGCCAAAAGAAAGGTTCAATCCTGGCAACCTATAAAATACATCTTGTTACAACATATCTAATAGGCAGAACAAAATCGGCTACAATGCGCTGCTCAATTAAATTGAAACAGAAAAGCATTTGATCAGAAATTTTTAAATGTCAGTACTCCCCTATAGCCCCTAGAGGCCAGCAGCCCATTAAACATATACATACAATTATGCGAATGTTCGCATAGACCCAGGGAATACCTATCACTATAATAGGGCATTTGGTTGTAATTATACGAACGGCCCCAAAGAGGAGCAAAAAGCCGCATAACAGCCGAACGCTCCACGTTTAATCGAACACTATTCGGCACACCTCAACCAACTTTGCTTCTCCTTCTACATTCCATTACGTATTAGATAAATTCCGAGCACAGGTTGGAAGGCCATTTGGCCTGAATTTGTGGGAGGAGTTAAGATCCTATATAAACCCTACCCCCCTACTTACCTTTGTCATGCAAGCTGTTTGTCCTCACCCAACCTACACCCATCTATATTAAACAATTCAACTTTGTGGGCCCTCTTTTACAGGCCTACTTGAACGTTGGTTTCGGCACACCTCAACCAACTTTGCTTCTCCTTCTACATTCCATTACGTATTAGATAAATTCTGAGCACAAATTTTTATATATATATATAGCAAAAATAGAAAAGTCCTTGCACTCACACTTGGATGATTTAATAACCGGGTGCTTGTAATCCAGGAAGATTCAAATAAATTCAGATAGTGATCAGCACTCACGGATTTTCAAGAATTAAAATTAACAATTTATTAAGTATCCATTAAAAGATCAACGTTTCAGTCCCAGCAGGGACTTTCATCAGGATCAGGCATGCAGGGTCCTTTGGTGAGCGCTAGGAGCATCCTTTCTACGGTCCAACTTCCAGCCAGCCTGGAGGCAACCATAACATACTGGCACCTGGCAATTTAAAGAACTATTCAGCCTGAGTGCAAGGATTTCTGGTGTGTGTGTGTGTGTTGCACTCACGGTCTCCGGTAAAAATATCAAGAATTTATTTGGTATTCATTAAAATATATCAACATTTCAGTCCCACATTTGGTCTTTGTTACGGTACATACAGTAATAAATGTACAAACCGCCATTTAGTGAATGCTCCCCGTTCGCAATAATGTTATCTGGTAGCGTATGCAATACAACCATGCAAACCACCAGCCAGAGAACACTCCAAACTCCTGAACAGTACCCATACGGCTCCTTCCCTTCACGAGCCACAAGTTCACGAACTGCCAATATCAGCCGAACGCCAATATCTTCCAAGCGGCAAATAATTCCAAAGAGCAGTCTCTAGTCGCCGGTAATAAAATCCCCCCCAATAACGAGACCAATCTCCGCTTTGAGGGTAAAACACGAACTGAGTTTACTGTGGGCTACCTGCCCGTATTTATGCAGGTCTCCCACTTGGTGGATACTCCCCTAGGGGACCAAATGGGAGACAGGAATAGCAGATGGACATGGGGACATTTCAGACATACAATCCCACAATATTCCCAGCACAGGTTCCTCCCCTCTGCTCGGGAGATAATTGAGAAGTAATTCAATTATCTCCCAGAGCAGAGGAAAAACGCCATTTTAAATACAAGTCACAAAACATAAACATAAAAATATATAACTTTATAACTACCGAACATATTACATTCGTGTAACACATCCCAAGATAGCCTGGATCTGAGTGCATATTATTGGCGAATAGCGCTCAGATCCCATACGCACAGTTCAATCGCCATGGAGTCAAAGTCTATTACAGTTCTTCGGTATGCGATTGACTCCATGGGAAGGCTATCTGGGGTAAGTCCATTCGTGCCTTTACATCTCCCGAACGGCCGGTGTTCGCACACTTCTGTCGATTGAGAAGGGAGGTCGACGGCTTCAGCGGTGTTCGGTTGAAAAAGTGTCCGTTTTCAGTTCCATGAAATAACCGTCGAACACCGCTGGTTTTTCGCATGGTTAAAATGGCCGCCGCCTCGTGGTCGGCATATGAACGACGACCACCCTGTATTCGGTTTTAATTGAGAAGTGTCTGTGGTTAACCACAACGTTCTAATTGGGATCAATAGGTTAACCAGCAGCACACTTCTCTTCTGGGTGGCCGTCCGTTCGGCAGTTCCGTTCAACAGAAAAGTACATTCCCTTAAACAAGGCATACGAATGGGTAAATTCATGCAAACGGCAAAACAGACGAACACAGCAATCCTAGTTCATACGGATGGGTCTGTCACAGTCTTTTTTCAGGATCACACATAACATACAAGTATAACATCATTAAAATATATAGGTTGGTAATAAGTGAACATAAACTCACCCCAGGTGCTGTGTATCACCAGCGGTTTCCCCCTAAGTCTCGGGCGCAAGCGCATAGAAGCTCCGCCCCCTCAAGTGATGTAATGGCGTAGTTTTGATCAGCAAGTCACCATGACAACGCGGTATGCTAAACCGGCGCTGCCATGGTGATGGCTAAACGTCTCAGAATACAAAGAGTGCTTCAAAGCCCACTAAATAAAATAACACCAATCTAAGGTGTCGTGACTGTGTGAGGGTGATTGGACAAACAAGTGCATGGAGGGTAGAAAAGTGCAGAATAGGCAAATTGCAATATTAAAGTGACGTAATAAAAATGTAAAGTGCCAGAAACATATTGAAAGTAGCAATGTGCATA